TAAGCCGTGGCCTTGACTTAATTACCTCATTCCCACGCCTTACTAAGTCGAGGCCATGCATTAGGATCTCATTCCTCGCATTAATAAGGCGTGGTCATGCATTATTTTATTTATATTGGATGTCACCAGCAGGGCTCTGTAGCTTATACCAAAAGTGCCCAAATTGAGGCCTGCAGGAAAAAGTGGGGCCCACTTTTGTCCACCTCTGCCTCAGCCAATTTTTATACAGGGTGAACTAGCCTAATGGTGGACGTTTTTTGTATTTCAGACTTTTGGAATATATTGTGATATGAAGCCAATACATTAAATCTACACGCTGTACTACTCTGAAATCCCCAGGATGTGTCCTAATCAAACCAAAAGAGAGAATAAATGGTGGCTATATCAGAGCTAGTAGTGCAAAGTTGTCTCAGAGTGCATTTCCTATTCTGGGACAGTTCTGCCCAAAATGTGGGACCTGGAAAGTCTATGTTAAAAGGCCTAAATCAATTTTACTTCATGTAATAAAAACTCTGTCTCTGCATCTGAGGTTCTCTCCCTATCTTATTTCTCTCTTCTGCCATTGTGATCTGAAAGAGGCTACATTCCACTGAATTAATCAATAATATGCACAGAATTAAGTGGAAGGATTTTATTAAATTGCTATGATAATTTGAATATCTTTGGTTTTGAAATCCATTGCTATGTTCTAAACCTGACTAGATTTATCCCCAACACTATCCCTGACTTTAAAGAGGCAAGATTGTGCCTTTCACGCACACATACATACAACCACACTGACAAAAACCCTCATACCATTTTAACAGATGCAGCCTCACTTAATTATTGAATATAATTAGCTTTTCACCTTAAATGTCTAAAGTAATCTGTTAGAAGACTAAAACCCTGTAAATAATCATTGTTATAACACAATCTATGCCCCTCCACACATTTTTGACTGACTGAAGTACTTTTAGAGCTGTCACATATAAGGCAAATCATACTGTCTCACCTTTCAAACCATGCAAGACAATAGAAAATTTGATTGAAATAACAAATATAGAGTATATTTACACCATATTATAATATTTATGATGTACAATCATATTATAAACACATCCTTATAAAAACTAGCAGAATTATTTTATTTATTTATAAAATATACCTTAACATTAATTTTGTCTAAACACTATGTCACTAAACTTAGGGTGGTCTTCATCTGGGGTGCTTCCTGTCTGAAGATTGCTTCACCCTAATCTATGATTGGATATTTGCGAAGTTATGTGATTTTGATTACATGACATCACAGCTTGTGTTAATCCATAATTTCATTGACTTTCAATTGTTTGAGGAAGACCTACACCGAACAAAGTTAGGTGTTCCATGTTACACAGCATCCCACGTAACAACACCCTAAATTGTTTTTTTTTTGTTTTTTTTTGCTTAGTTTTCTTTTTAAAGACCCCCTTGCAATCAAAAACATGTTTTTTTAAGTAGATTCTTTTGCATGGCTTATTGAGACAATAAGGAATGATATTGTGTCAAACGTGTTACCACAGCACAAAGTTCACATTTTTCCACTGAAAACACAGGTTTTCTCAGTAGTTCAAGTAAAGAGATTTGTGGAGCACTACATAGCAGCTTAGTTTTGTAGGTCACCAATGAAGCTATCATGGTCCAATATATTAAAATATATGTAGCAACAGTAGCTTAGCATGCTACAGCTTCACACACCGCTGCCCGTGCTAGCACCAGAGGCTTAACAAGCAGGCCGAAAAAACAGCTTCATCACACAGGTTCAGTTGACTGGTGATTCACTGACACACCAACTTCTGAATTATAAAGACCAAAATGTGAGGCAGTGAATTGCTTGTTGAGCCTTTAGCTACAGTTAGTAGTTTCCTGTACTGTAGAAAAACTGCTCAGACCAGTGTGCATTCCATACCAGTCTAAGCTGGTTTATGCTGGCCTGGTGCTGGTTTAGAAGCATACTGTACCTCATATGTCCAAAATGGTAACTTTACAGGAGAAAAAATACATACTTTACTTTTAATGTAAGTCAATGGAACCAGACTTTTTACAAGTCATTTTGGGCCATTTCTTTTGGCCCATTCATCATGAATTTTACACACAATGTAAACTACTATAGGCATTTTCAAAAACTGGATAACAACAAAAATGTAGATACAAGGTTTTGTTCCGACAGCAGCGATATGCTGGTTTTGCTGGTGTAAGCATTATTCACTCAGCATTATAACTTCCATTGCTGCTAACCAGCACACCAGCATCCAAACCATAGCATATGCTGTTTTTGCTGGTGACCAGCTATGCAGGTTTATGCTGGTTTTTGCAACAATACATACAAATATTTAACAATTTAATGTTCAATATAGATTTTTCATGGTTGAAACTATGACTTCAGTGGAATTTTATTTTTTATTTTTGAGAAAATATGTAGTGTAATATTATAAAACAAAAATTGAAAAATCGACATCATACAATTGCCATTGACTGCAACGACAACATGGTGGCGCAGTGGGTAGCGCCTCACGGCAAGAAGGGCCTGGGTTTGATTCCCTGGCTGGGCGACCAGGGTCCTTTCTGTGCAGAGTTTGCATGTTCTCCCTGTGGCTGCGGGGGTTTCCTCCCACAGTCCAAAGACACGCAGTCAGGCTAATTGGACATGCTAAATTGCCCCTAGGTGTGTGTGAATGTATATGTCTGTCTGTCTGCCCTGTGATGGACCGGTGATGGTCCTGCCTTCCACCCAATGATTGCTGGGATAGGCTCCAGCTCCCCCTGTGACCCAGAAGGATAAGTGGCTTAGAAGATGTGTGTGTGCAACAACAATGTAACATGTTTGTGGCTAACGGCTACAAGCTAATAGTCTAATAGGCAGTGGCGCACAGAAAAGAGGTGAGAAATATCCACCGAAGAATATCTCTTCACTGAATTTAAAGGCAAGCCTGTGTGTATCGCATGTAAAGAGTCCACTGAAATCTTTATTGTATACTTGTGACAAAAATGTGAAGCTAACAGGTTGCTAGCTAGCTGTTTTTATCTTTTGGGCCTTGGCCCACCACAAACATTGCACTTTGGCCCCTGAATAAAAAAAAATAAATAAATTTGGCCCCCCCAGCTTAAACATATGTCCAGGATGAGGAGGAAGAAGCAGTGCAAGGCAGAAGAGAACAGACACCCACTAGCCTGCCTCTTACTAGCCATCCCAGTAACGCTGCTATAGAGAAGACTGGAGGTGCAGCTCGAGTGGGTGCAGATCAATTCAGAGCATTATTGACAGTCTTAAGAGCAATGTGTGGGCCTGCGGCATGAACACTCAAGGATTAGCAAATAAATCTTATGTATCATAGAAAATGAAGGTTGGTGTGCATTTACACTATGAATATAGAAGTCACGACTGATCCGAAACAAGAAGCACGAAACACACCTCACACACACTCTCCTCTTGAGCCATAGCTGTTCACCAGTCACGCTCAGCAGGTCTCACTGAACAGAACACAGGATCTGTGGGTGCCAGGTGGTCAGGAACACATTTCCATCTCCAGGACACTGACTCTCAGTACAATCTGCTCAACAGGTAAGAGACAACCAGATACCAAGAGTATACCTAACGAGGGATGAGGGAGCGATATAACCACAGACATCCAATACTGTGTAAAAGTCATAGACCACCAATGCAAAACACATTCAGCAATGTTAAGGTCTGGACTCTGGAGTGGTCAGTCCATTATTCTGAGAACTCCAGCAGCTTCTTTGTTTGATTTTCTTTTTTGTTTATTTCCTTTTCTCAGTAAGGGCATCTTGACAGCTACACATCCTTTCAGACTCATATCACTGAGAGGTCTTCTCACAGTGGAAGGATGGACAGAAACATCTGTGAATGTTTTCAGACACGAAGCAAAAGTGGAGCTTGATTTTCTCCTCTCTCTCCAAGATGAAAGTTTTAAGAACTGTTTATCTGATGGTGATTTTTTTGTGATATACCAGGTGTTCTTTATATATTTTATCTCTTTCTCTATGCATTTTATGCAGTTTTTGAACTTGAGTTTTGGAAACTCCTGATTTTCCTTTGCTATTTTTTATGCAAATCGATTCTTTTATCTGATTTCCTCAGAAATGTCTCCTGAAAAATGAACAACTTGTACTTCATGGGTGATTTGACTGGAAATTTAACAAATATATGATGGTCTTGGACTTTTGTACAGTACTGTACACCAGTGGCGTACAAAATAAACACCATGATGACACTCATACTAATGTCATTTGATCAGAAACACAAACCACACAGGTGTACTTTGTAGGTTTAAAATGACTGACTGTATCCCATCCACTGACGCACAATTTTTCAGTCCCCTCTAACCTTTCCATCAACGGACTGCCGCAGAACCATCACTGACCAGATATTACTTGGCCGGTTAATCGTTTTTAGCATAGCAGTCATTCAGTGTGTTGTGCTGGCATGTGTGCATCAGATACAGCAGCCTTGCTATAGCTGATAGAAACGTCTACCCTGCTGGTCCACATTGTAGGTCAACAGTAAGAGATGATAGCTCATATTTTTCCATGAACAGTTTGTGTTAGTCATCCTCAAGCCCTTCTTTACCTTCTGACCACATGACCACTTTTGGCTGGTCATTTTTAGTTGGTGGGCAACACTCAGCACAGCAGTGACAAAACACTTAATGATCCACCACCCATAAAATATCAGGTCAACAGTGGTCCTCTGCTGATAAACTGTGCAGCACCAGATGGGCTACAGAAACCTACGAGATGAACCTACATGGTAGGTGCACCTGATAAAGGGTAGGGATACCAGCGCAAACAGATAGTGACCTCTGCTGGTGAAAGCAGAACAATGTACTAACTGCAATAACAGAGAGAGACATTTTCATCATAGGATTTTAAATAAAAACCATTTTTATTTTTAAAATAAATGCATTTACAGTCTAAAAACAGCAGGCCATGCACTGCCGTTCAGAACATCTGAGGCAAACAAAAACAAAAAAATAAACAATATAGGAGGAAAAGATATGCTAAGCTAGCCGTTCTTTTACTTCAGTTTATGGCGATTTGTCTCAAACTCCAGGGTGTGAAGGTTTTCCTTCATCCAAACATTTGGCTTTTAAATCACCATTAATAAAACAACAACCTGACTTTCCTATAGAAGACACAAAGAAAATAGCTGCTAGAAGCGTCTTCATGTGTGTTTACTAACAGGAACAAAACCATTAAAAAACAAGCTTGGCCAATACTTTACTGCAGGACGCAGAAATAAACATTTCTTTACTATATTTAATTTAAAGCTGAAAAAGAAAAAAAATGGCAAAGCCCTTGAATGTGGAAGTGATGAAATATGCAGCTAGATCTACAACAGATTCTTCAGACCTGGAGCTTGAGACATGCTTCATCACATTATATATATTTATATATATTTGACTCTTAAAAACTCAGTAAGACCTTAACATTGGCAGGCACACATCATACCACACAATGCTAAACGATGGCTTTTTTCCTTCTCTTCTGGAAAAATGCACTTCCAAAAAATGACAGAAAAAAGCAGCAACATAAACGACAATAACTGTACAATTCTATAAAACTGTGTTTTTACATTAGTTACAAAAACTAATACTTCATTTAGCATTCCTTCATATTCAGAAAAAAAAAAAGACGGACATTGCATGTATTGTCTTAAAACACAGTGACCTATTGCTGGTGCCTAACAAAATATAACAGTTTTGGATAATACTATATGGTTTAGGATAAAGTGTGAAAGGCAGAAAAGCAGGCCGCACGGAGAATACGAAACGAACTCTTCATGGTGCTTAATGTTTGTAAGAGCCAGCAGGCTCCAGAACACAGCTGAGGTCATCCTTACATACTTCAAACTGAACAGTCGCTGGACAGTTTTCGAAGGAACAGCACATTTGGGATACTGGGGCTATTTCTTCATCACGTTGCCTTCATCATATTGTTTATGCTGTCCATTGCAAACTGCTTCTAGTAACAATAAAACCGGTGACTGTTCTTTATAGTAGAGAAAGCCCAGAGGCCATCCACAAACAGCTGTAGTACTGAACGCATAACTTAAAGGGCCCTGGACAGCATATTAGACTAAATAAAAAAGTATATGAAATTAAAAAAAAGCTACACGATAAACTACAGCTTATTCACATCGGGACCTTTCTTTCACTGTAGAAGTGCTTGCAATGTCTTCATGTCGACAGACCATATTAAAATAGAACTACAGTCTTGTTGTGGGATTGACTTTAGTGTTTTGAGTGTCAGCCCTAATCCTGCAAGACTCTCAACCTCCTTCATAATGAGAAAAACTAAACGTAGTGCCAAAGATACTTCATTAAAGTGGCTGCTACCACCACCGAGACTATGTTTACAATGTCTGTAGTGTTAATTGGTCAGGGAAAATAAATGCAATGGAAATGGTATGAAATTGATGGCAAGTTAAATCACAGTGAAGCGGCGTATGGACTACAGAGGATTAATCAACACAAATGAGCACCAAGAGAACCAAAACACTCAATTCCCCAACAATACAACCAAAACATAACAAGTGCGTGCTGAAAAAAAACTGTTGGATTCTTTTGTTGCTGAGAAAAGCCTGAATATTAGCACAAAAGGTGAAAGGGTCATGGATGTCACTCCTGTAGGATGCACGGGCACTGCAGTAGCAGGTGGCAGGAAGGCAGTGACGGGTGTCGGACGCTGCAGTGACTGCACACACACACACACCAAGCATTCCGGTTGCCAGCAGGCAGGAGTCTCTGTGAAAGTAGCTGCTCACTTCAGGAAGCATTCTCAGATATGCCTCAGCAAGAGGTGAAGCCTTGGGCGGAGTGAGAACATTCTCCTCGTCCTCAAAGTCACATCATTAGTGTTATTAATGTGTTTGTCAGCGTTAATGCAAGAAAAAAATAAAATAAAACTTTTTAATTAAAAAGGTGATGTCAGCTTTCAAACAATCACTGTGTGGCCATGTCAGACTCTTGGCATGGTTTAAAAAACAAACAAAAAAAAAAAGATAAGAAAAGAATACAAGAACAGAAAGACCCAGACATCTCCTTCCCCTCATCACCCCATCCCTTTCTGTTGGGTGGAGAGCAGCTCTCAGACCCAGCCACTGGTGAGCTTGTAGAACATCTCCTCGTCTAGAGACTCGTTCTGGTCCTTGGCACGCGTGGATAGGAAAATGTAGCCACCGATGAACTCATGCACCACCTTGCAGTCCACTTCTGCACAGATGAACGACAGACTGGGCTCATCCGCAAACTCTACTGTAACCTAGAGTAGAAAACAGCAGGAATTTAGGGCTGGGTTGTAAAACAATAATAAGACAACTGAAATCATTTTTTTAATATATATAAATATTATGTATTTGAGGTTTTTGCCAAAATGATTATGCTGTTCTGCTTCTCACCCTGGTATTATCAACAAAGGCTTGAACTTTGAATTACTGCTACATCTACACACTAGGGGGCAATATGAGACACTAACTCACTACACAGAGAGGGAGAAGTCTAGTCATTCACAACACCACAGATCAGCATAATGTAAAAAAACAAAAAAAAAAGAAAGAAAAGAAAAAGTTAACGACTATTTTCAGTGTTGAAATTATATACAGTAAAAGTCCTCTGCAGTGTGGAATTGGTTTGGTTTCCTAAGATGCAACTGTCTTTGATCAGATTCCTTATAATACACTTCAGTCTAAAAATATAGTAAAGTATAATGAATATATAGTGACAAGATATTTGGCTATATTGCATGTCCTAACTTTATGAGATGTGAGGGAAACCAAAGCTAATTTTAGTCAACGTGAATTAGAAATCAGAACCCATTTTTCTTCCTTAACATTACATATTTCTGAGTAAAACAGGATATTCGGGTGATAAAATGTGGGCGAACATTTGTTCTTCAGGATCTGATTGGATCATAAAAAAACAGGCATCCCAAAACAACCAGGGAGTCAGACTCTGATGGTGGGCAGAATCTGTTTTGCAGAAAAGCCAAAGGAAAAAAAACAAAAAACAAGTAGTACAATATTTAGAGGTGTATTTTCTATTCTTTCTAAAACACACATAATTGTGAAAGCTTGATTTTAATGTGTATTTCTTTTAACTTCTTAAGACACAGAGAAGGTGAAGCGCTGGTTAGTAATCTAGCCTTTTAGCATCCACAATTTCTCGCTTTTTTGGTTTACATTTTTACAGCAAGAGCGAGAGGAACAAAAGTCAGGTTAACGTTAAAATAAACCTGTGTACAAGTGTAACTACTGAACGTATGTGGGCAGTACTGTGTGTGTGTGTGTGTGTGTGTGTGTGTGTGTCTGTGCACGTCGCTTCATCATCAGCTGCCCTCCGCCCACAGAGCCTCAGCCTCACAGAGCAGTGGAAAACTTCATAAAACAGTACAAATACTGACTGAGTGATTACCTCACTCAAACTACCTCATTCGAATTAACATGAGTGATGATTGCCAGTGTGAACAAGCTGAAATAATTCATTGTTATTTTCAACCTGTTCAAAAACCAAAAGTGAGTGAAGAATTGAGGTCGACGATAGGTCAGGATGGTGGGAAGGGAAGGAAATCATGCTGAGATATTATTGGTTAGTGTAATTTTTTTCCTGCCCGTTGGAACACAGTGACACAGCAAAATGTCAGAAAACATTCAGAGTCAGGCAAAAGCCACGGCTCTAAATTTGATAAAAGATCACGGAGAAACGAGAACTTTGCCTTGTGAACGATATGACACAATGGACTGTGCTTAATGTGACCAAGGACATGAACTGACGAGGTAAAAAGAAAGATGCGTTTTGATTTTAGGTTGATTTTAAAACTGAGCAGGAGTAAAAGAAAAGCCATACCATCTTGATCTCCCAGTTGACGTTCCACTGTTTCATGTTGCTGAACCGCCAGGTCTTGATGGCATCTCTGGTGCTGGCATCTATGCGTATCAGTCTGTTGTATGTGATGCCAATCAGCTCCTCTCTCTTACTCCCTTGGAATCTTACGAAGACAAAGGGAAACATGACAATGAGGCCTTTTATACAGTAGTCAAGACCAAACAGGCGGTTACTATGCAGGTATAAACTCTTCTCTAATAAACATGTTTAAATAAAATGGAAAATACGCTAAATGATCAAAGAGGTGTGTCTGTTCATACTGATGCATGGAAATATCCGCTGGAATCAGGGCGTATGGAGGCTGGTAAACACGATTAAGAAGACTGTGGCGAAAACACTCACTTGGCCAGGAAATGAGTGATCCCAAACTCTGGCAGCGACTGCCAGGCCTGGATGAAGCGCATCTTGGCTTCAATCAGACTCATCTGGGCCACGTTCTGATGGGCCTCCAGGATACGAGCAGAGATCTGAAGACAAAAACACACAAAAAGCAATGTCAACACTTAAGTTACTAAGCATGTACTTCCCCATCAACCACATGCACACTCACCAACATTTAGCAACAGTTGATGTCACAACGCTTCATGGTGACGAATATTCATGCTATCACCCAACTGTCACCAAGCATGCCACACATGGCAGATATTAGCGTGTCCCCACAGGCGTGAAGGTGATGAGGCAGACAGGCTCTCCACCCCTGAGAGAGGCCTCAGTGGTGATCTCTAACCACTCCTGACCTCACCAAAGCTCTACAGCCCAGGGCTGCTTCAGCCCCACAGCTAATGACTCAACAAACACAGATGGACTGAGAGGTGCCTCATCTGTCTGCCTTAAACTCACAGTATTTTCCATTTTAGATTTTCTGCTGTCAGTACTGACACCACTACTACCATTTAGACTCTAAAGATCACACATTCACAAGTTGTTAGTACTAAGAACAGATCGGACATGAGTGCATAACAGCCACTGAAGTCGTTTTGAGCTACTTAGAACCAAAATGAGTTAGTAGAAGAGTATCTAAAATGGAAGTAAGACACAAAGACAGACATCACTGCAACTGACAAACAGTTTCACTTACCAGGTCCCTGATATAGCCTGGCTGAAGAGGGGCAGGGGTGAGAAGAGAGCAAGAGGAGGGAAGAAATAAGGAACAGGAATAAAACAATAAACAAATAAAGCAAGTGAGAAAGTAGCAAACAAGCAGATAAGTTCAAAACAACAGATTAGCAAATAAAGCAATAAAACAATAAAGGGCACGTGGCAGACAAAGCTCATGCAGCAGTCTCCAGCTGAAGGCACGAGAGGAGGAGGCAGGAGCAGAACAATGAGAAACACAGTTTCTGCAAAAAAAACATTAATACACAACAGTGCAGGCTTTTCTGAAAACATGGTATTCTTTTATTCTTAATCTGTGTTAAAGCAGTGTTTGCCAATCCTCATCCTGGACTACATTACACACTGCGCAGTTAATATTTTGACCACTCAAGCAAATCTGTTCTGTTTGAACATTAACTGATGTGTCAGATTGGCTTTTTCATAAATAGAAAACATGAAACTGTGGATTACAAACATAGTCCAGGACTGGTTTTGGGCTGTTATAAAAGCCAACAGCATCATATGTCATATCTACATGTAAGATTTGATAGAAACGGTAAGAACTGGCTGTTAAATGTTAAGGAAGATAGCACTTTTCACATCACTGCCATCACAAAAGCTTGTATTAACATACCTTTACAGTGAAAAAATGAAAAACAATCATTTGTTAAGGTAACTTTAAAAAAATAAATTCATTAATTAAAAAAAAACAAAAAAACGGTACTCTACACTGCATAGTCACCAAGTTCCTTCCGCTGACCTTATTGCACTCATTCACACTTCATTTCTGATTCACTGATTCACAGTTTCTCTTCACTGCTCGGCACTTTGATTCTGTGTTTTATTGTTCTCTTACTTAAAACGTATTTTATTTAATTAGATAAGGCTGTGGTATGGCTCTTGATTTTTTTGTTTAGGTTCTTGCAGCATGTCCTGGGACTTCGCCTTATTTATTTTCCCCTCATTATGTTAAATTCAGCAAATAAAAAGTAACGTGCATCAAACTGTGTAGAAATGTGTTCTCTGTAGAAAATGTGTATTTATTTCCACTTACAACATCTGCAAAACATAACTGACACAGTTTCACCAGGAGCGCCCAAACTTGTACATCCAACCATGTACCTTTCACTATTTCCACCAGGGGGTGCTACAGCCCAGATTAAAGACAAACAGAACAGACTCAGTGACTCAAAGTGACCCACCATTTGGCTCTGACTCTGTTCCTTGTTGTTTGTCAAGTCATTTTCACTAAACTACTTAGCAAAGACAAGCTATTCTGACATCCTACACTCCAGAGATATGCTAATTAAGGCCCAGTTCATCTAGGATTAAAAGACAAAAAATAGACTTTGTTAGATGGAGAGAGAAGTCCAGTTTATTGAGGGAGGAAAGACATGGCTGCAGTGTTCAAAAAGAAAAAAAAATTCATCTTCTGCACAACTGAAAGCGGCTGTTGTGTTTGTCCCAGGCTCTTTTCCCCCTCTGCATTCACAAGCAGCTCTCATTTCCTGCTGCTTTCCCGCCTGTTCTCTGCAGCCCCACCCCCAAAATCCTGAGGACAAGCTCAGGGGATCCGGCAGCTCTGTGGCTTTCATGTAGCGACAGCAGGGTGGGGAGCAGCTGGGAGAGGAGGCAGACGCTACCAGCCACCACCCTTTAAAAGCACTGTAAATTCTGGACTTCAGCCAGGGCCACTGCCCCTGCACTCAGTCCACATTCACTCAGAATGGCCTTACAGTCTCAGTCTATCTCTGTCTCTCCCTCCTCATCTTCCTGTTTCTGAGTGGAGTAAAAACACTGCAGACTATTTTAAAAAATAACATGGCGCACTCAGAACTGTTCCATTCAAACTTGCTCAAGCTCCTGTGAAAGTTCCATCCCTGCATCAAACTGCAACGATTGTAGATTTTTTTTCCATTTAATAAGGCATTTCCTGCCATTTCCTGTGTTGCTATTTTACAGCCTTCTCAGCAGTCTGCAGAGATGCCAGGCTGCCAAAGCATGCACACAGACCAGGCCTGGGCTGCTCTCACACCCTGACTCACATCTTAATGCAGCTACACCTACACAAACAACACCCCCTTCCAGTACCATCTAATCACTTACACATTGGGCACATTCCAGCAAAGCCATAGCATCCACCAAAACATACCGCCATGTGCTGCGCTATACACAACTTAACCACTTACATATGTACCACATACTGTGCCCTACAATTCAGGCCAACATCGAATTTTAACTTAGTGAGCAAATATTCAAGACACAGCTTTACTGAACATATATTACTTTCTAAAATTGGTTTCTTCTACAAACAGATAGAACAAAGCACTTCTGTAGGCTGTTTTGGATAAGAGTGTGTGCTAAATACCTTTAATGCAAAATATCATGTATATGTAAGTGCCATCTACCCATCATTAGGCTTTAGAGATTTAGAGTCTTTAGAGCTAAAAGGCATGTCCTTCACCGTCATGGGAAAAGGGAAACAGAATAGGAACGGGGGAAAAAAAATAATAAAAAATAACAGAAATAGGAGAGGGGATGCAGATATCTAGGTTAGCTGCATTCCTCTAGAGAACAGCCTGACGCCAGACACCCAGCTGGGAGGCCTCAAACCCTTTACTCAGGCAAAGTAACTGCTCTCTCAAATCAATTATTCGCTTCAGTGTCCTTCACCCTCTCACCCACGTTCTAATCATTGGTTTCTCAATCGTTCTCTAGTCCTGTCTGGGTTTCTGTCTGTCTTTCTCTCAAATCTTTTTCCAGTAACTTGTTGTGTACTCCCACTTAAAGTGACCTCTCCTCCACAGAACATCTGCTCAATTTTACAGTGAACAGTGTGGTACTGCATGATATCATGGCTACATAACTACTGGAAAAGTAGGTGAGGTTTTCTGGAGGCATGTAGTGGTGATATTTCTCATGCAGCAATAGTGTCAACATTAAACAAAATCAACAGCAGCAACAATGGAGGAGCTTTAAGTTCTGACTGCATTGTAAAGAGTCTGGAAAGGCTGTTGACACCTTTTAGTAACTTTTGTGTTCATATCATATCCGAATGTACTTTGGCCATATTCCGTTTACATTTTACACAAAATGCAGTGAGCAGATGACTTTCCTGACTTTCCTTTACTTTCCTGCAAAAAAAATCTGTTACACATACATTGTTCATGTTTTACTTCCATTACAATATGAATCGACAAGCTTGGCTTGGATGCTTCCAATGGCCCAGAGTGCAAGAAGGGATAACCTTATGTATCCTCCATCTTGTGTTTTCTTGTTTATTCTCACACCTGCCAGTCAGCACTCCACAGACGCATTTCCACTTTTGTGATTGTAAGGAGATATAGAAAACGCATTCCATTTACACTTGTGCTGAACCTGGTCGAGATCCGCCTCTGACAACCTCCAAAGGCGTCCTAGGTATGTTTACAACTGGCTTTTAATGCAGTGACGTGAAATCTGAACATGAACCAATTCCCAAAAATGCATGTAAGGTATGTTAATGCAAGGTGTACATGGTGATTATCTTGCTCAACTGCCATGCGCAACGATTCTGATATGATTCTGCAGTATTTCTACCTCCACTCATACAACTTCATAACACCACATCACCCTACATCCGTGGCAAAAACTGTAACCAAATTCAATACAGGCATTTGGGTATAGTACAGGTATTGCAATGATTAAAAGAGTGATTATGCATTTGTAACCAAACAGTGCCATGCTCAGTGGAAAAGTACTATTTGTAGACCAGTAACCAGTCCACATTTGTGTTGTATTCAAACACTCTGCACACAAGCAGGGTTATCAAAGACTTCAGCAGATTACTAGACAGCCTCAAGCTGCGAGGTGAAGGCCTCCCCCCACACTCATTTAAATTTCATTATTTTTCATTAGATGCAACAGTGAGTAGCTACAGGTCAAAAACTCATCCTCACACTGTCAGTTACCTGTTTGTTCTTGTATTTCTTCAGATACCGTGGTGACACCAGACACTCAGGATTGATATCAGTGGTAATAGGCTCGATGATCTGCGGGTCAGGGTTCATATGTTGCATCTTTAGGAAAGACAGAATGTTCTGGACCTCCAGGTTGTAGGAGCTGTCTGCCATTGTCTTTCCCTTGGAGGCCAGGCGACAGGCTGCCATCCACTGCGCATACTGCTTCTCCTGAAGGTGAGAGGGCAAGGGTGGCAAGATAAAGGAACATAGGCATGTTTACTAGAAATCATGTCTGCTCTGAAGTGACCTCTACAAAAACCCTCTTCAAAAATGAACTTCTTCAAAAATGAGTGTTAACAGCATGAGTGTGTGTCTTGGGGGCAGGGGAGGGAAGAGCCTTGCTCACAGTGTCACATCGGAGCCAGATCTCATTCATGCCATCCGCCACTGGGATTAGCAACTTGATGTTGAACTTCTGACCAGAAATATTAACATCTGGTGTCACCTCACAGCCTGTAAAGAAACGAGAAGAGGATTCAGCACTTCGCTTCAGATATGTCCATAAATACGCCTAGAAAAAAAGACATTGTGCAGCAAACCTTACCTCTCAGGTTCATTTGGTGGGCAGGTATCCCATGCGCCTCCTCACGGCTCTTGTAGCAGGAGATTGTGATGTCCTTGAATGTGCACCAGTACTGCTTGGGCCCTTTCAGTGTCAGTTTCTTTGGCCTGAGAGAGACAACAGAGGTCAACTAAACTACATGAAGAAAAGCCCAGTCTCTATAAAAGAGTTTACATATTGTTTTTCTTCCTTCCAAGATTCAATGGTTGTTAAGATGATGACTTAAACCTCTGTAGATTTCAATTTCACTGTTTCCTAAATGGAATTGATCTTCTATAGTGCTGATGACTCACACCCTTAACGAAAATTATTCCATTACTAGGCTGTTTCAGCAAAGCATTAAAACCACATGGGTCCCTTGCGTACATATACACAATGGTACTTTCTGGAAACATCACAATGTAAAATACAAGGCTAGTTTATGGGCAACAGCTTACAAGGAAATAGGCATTTGCTTGGTCGCTTGTTTTCTTAAGGCCAGTGATCTTAAATTTCATCCTATGAAACAGTCCTGTGATGTGAATTTGGAACTAGAGTAGAGCTCACATCAGTAAAAAAAAACAATCCAGCTCATAAAAAACAACATTAAGCCTTAAAAATATAGGAGCTCTGTTATATTCCACTTACTTGAAGACTTTAACATAGTCAGCCAGTTCAGGAATGGATGTAATATCACCCTGGAATGGACATGAAATAAGGACAAAACTGGTCATTTCAATGAAGGATGACATTCAAATTTTTGACTTGGTGACAGTGACATGCAAAAAACAACCTTCAGTGTATTCAAATTGCGTTTGAATTGTGAAATGCAGAACACACTGCAATGGAGACAGTGAAAATGTGTTAAGGAAAAGTTAAGCTACCAGAGTGTTGGAAGTCTTTCCTCCCTCCAGGGTGATTTCCAGGTCGGATAGTGCAGCGTCCACCTCATCCACCTCCTTCTCACTGTTGTTCATGTGATTGTCCGAAGACATGATAGACAGCTTGTTGATGTGATACTAAAAATTCAATAGTAATAACACATCAGAGAGCAATTCACAGCAAAGCAAAGCCAGTATTTTCTCATTTTTATGTAATAGATAGTATATAAGCAGCAACTAAGCTCTGATGATCTAATTTTCCACAACAATGAATTATTCTCCACACTGTCTCAATCAGGTTGAGGAGTCTGAATAAGTTATATGAGAATGCTTTTTGTGGTTTGTAACTACACAAAAATCCAGCCACATTGTTTTGTTTCTTAGTCATATGCTTTTAACTGTACAGGAAATGACAACGGAGTTGTTAGACACATCCCTAAATACAACTTGTTGACACATGGAATAGTGGTATCACACGGCAGCCCCCTCACCCCACCTTGTACGTGAATGAGCAGATGGCCTGCGAGGGCAGGAATATTTTAAGTCACTGCTTCATACTACCACTCTATATCCAACTCAAGTTTCAAAGTGGAGGACAAAGTTGTCCTTACGTCACCAGCTCCACCTCTAGGGTCTCTGTTCTGTATGTGAAAGACCAGGCATCATCATGCAGCATGATCCATTATTAAGCTGAACTTGACACAATGACTGCACAATACATCGCTTCTTAATTGCAATATTGGTCTTTGCAATAGTGGTATCACTAAAGCCTGCAACAGATGACTAATTTTGGCCAAAACAATGCAGGCTGAACTTTCACCATGTCATATGTCACCACAATATGTTTCTTTTATATGTCATAATGCAGACATAATGCAATCCCAATATGCAAACATAATGTAGCATTTTGTCCATATTGTGCAGCCGTACTAGATTTTACTAGCCAACTGATGTAAAATTGTGACCAAAACAGATAGTGATTAAGAGTTTAGAAACGACAAAAGTCATTATACTATCCAAACTAATTTTGTACTATATTGTATTATATGAGCCATCTACAATTCTTTGCATTGTTGGTTTCTGCTTAATACCTTTTCTTATTTTTCCTTTAGTACTTTTTCACTTAGGTAATTTTTGTGTTTTGGTATTTCTCACTTTGAAGGTGTATGTTATAACATAAAAATATATCATATTGCTGTAATATAGTTAACACAGCACGTTCTCCACTGACATAACCGTCTAAAGTTTTGTCCTACTGTCAGGAGATCACTTCCCGGTGAAAACATCTGTTGCTGATAACAACAAAACTGCAGGTCGACAATATTAGCCAATATATCGGTCAGGCTCTACTAGGTACCACCATCATTAGCCAAGTGATGCTGATGCAGATGAAAGTCTCTGATACCCACTGGCTCAAGCCAAGAAAGCCTGAAACCCAACCCCAACCTCAGCTACTCATCCATGTGACAAAATGCACTGAGGACTGATGTGGAGGCAGGATGGTCTAATTTAAACTCCCCTGTAGCCAGCATGTGCAGGGCAAAGAAACACTAGACCCCCAAATACACCTCAACAAATCCCATGCTGAAAAACTAACACCTCTTCAGCAGGGCTACTAGAGATGGATGGATGTTATGCTGGGTGGTCCAGACCTGCCTCATCTCCCATCCATTGGACACCCACTCTATATATACACTGGGGGTGAAGACAGTGTGGCGTCCTTGGGTCTTGTCACTCAGCTCTTTTACGATGGTCTAAAATAGCAGGGCTCTCCAAGGCCAAGGGGTCTTCTGAAGGGGGTAATGGAGCTTCTGTAACACCCATAATCTTGAATTCCTCTTTACATCATGAGCCATGTTCCTTTGGATTGTCCTGACATCAAGGCTAAGTGAATTTTAAAAACTTCCATATTCATTTGTCAGCTGAAAGAAAACTTTAGAACTTCTTGTCTGGTGATTTGAACCTGCATAAATCAACAAACCTAAATACATGCAAATAATACACTTTCACCAATGGCCCAATTAGCTTCATATACAGAACTTGATTTTTTTTATATTCAGAAACAAAAGCTTATGACAAACTTGTCTCTGTTCTTAATAATTACCTTGAACACCACGTCACATACTGCAGACAAACTTAATTTAATGAAACTGAGATACAGCAGTTCTTGCTGCATATACAGACTGTAGCAATAGGCACTTTTGTGGCCTGCAGAAGGCAACCCAAGCCAAAGCTAAAGTACTGGCCTACAGGCACAAAGCCTATTCAATTCATTAACAGTGCAACAGGGCAGGGAGCCCAACGTAAACACTGCATGCTCTCTCATCATTGGCTTACTAAGCAATCCAAAACAGCCTAATAAGGCTTTGGAGATGCACCTCCCACCTTGTGGAATCCAAACAGACAGACAGACATGCACAAAGTTGAGCACTTACTCAACTTACTCTTACTTACCTGCAAAGCAGCAAACATCATCATCTCCTCCTCAGTACACTCGATTTCTTCCAGCAGGATGGCCCATTTGGCCTGCTCATACAGCTGGTTCACCCGGATGGCATCATACTGCAGGGGGAGAGAGAGACAGCATTAACCCCCAGCACAACCTGGTTTCACCAGCTGAGCAAACAAGACACCTCTGAAAGCCACTTCCTCTATCCCACACCCACTGTGTCAGCTGTAACAACGACCTGAACAAAGCTTAGTGTAGTGGGCTGCTGACAGCGAGCAAAGTCATTCAAAACTGCTTACAGTTCTTAGTACGCCTGCGTGACCGCATCACTAGCAGCAATACAAATCAAATATTCAAGAACAAAAAACAGTTTTGGGAGGAGAAGAACAGATTAACTAGCAAACTACCATTTAAAAACAATCAAGTTTAGACAATGGAGGACAATATCTCTAACAAACCGCTAAAAATGAAATGAGTAGAATTCCTCTAGTCTGACTGATGTTTTGCATTAAAATAAGTGCAATTAAACTCCCTTAACATACTGCATTTTGTAAACGTTCAGTATATTATGTGGAATGCTTTTGATGTTTATATGTTTATGTGGATCGCAAGATGAGCGGATGTTGTCTTTGGCATCACTAATCCAAATAAACCAATAACCAACAGTTTTGACCGACTGTAACAATACAAACCAGTATAACTGGGTAAGGAAAACCTGGCACGAACCTTAGGATTAAGGTCGAAAAAACTATGGTATTTGAACCGCAAAAGAAGAACATCATTCTCCTTCACATCTTGCTCCATGAGAGACCTGGAGGAGTCCAGCCACCTTCAGAACACACAGAAGATAAAGCTAAATTACAGCCTGAACCTCATAAATCACAGAGCACTCAGTCATTAGAACTAGGACACTGCACTTACCCCTGATTGATCTTGGCCTTATCCAGAAGAGACGGTGGTTTGTAGAGCTTCACCAGTATGTCGGGTGAGGAGATGGGCTGACTGACAGCGAGGATGCTGGGATTACCCTCAGATAAGGGACTGTCCCCAAACCAGGCTGAAGTGGGGGAAAGTGGGCTGCCATCTCGAGAATCATAGGTTGGAGTCATGGTCTTACTGTAGAGGCCAGGACTGGAGTAGATGCTCCCTAAAATTGAATGTGTGCATCAGTATTTTGCTGTCCGTTTCAAATGCATATACATACAGCAAGCCATACACATTAACCTTAGTCCAGGACTAAAAATGATTTCCAACAGAGAATTGGGTGGATTTTAGCCCGGGACTATGTTTAATTTGCATTGTATAACTCAAGTGAACCCTTACAAAAGCAGTGAGGTAGGTTAACACAACACAATGCAGGGCCAGCACATCACTACAAATCCAACTACACTTGATGTCCAGTCATCAATATACCTAGACTCTATGCATAACTTTAAGCAGTGTAACTCTGAATGAGGCAACATGCGGATGCACATTTAAAAAATATTCAACCTCACGAGTGCACACAGCAAACCAGCACAACCAGAAGCATGAGCGGATCCTGGAGCTCAGGCTGCAGAGCTGTGACAGCCAGCATGACTTATAACAAGTGAACGGGAAAATCTTCAACTTAAAAGTTACGAGTCTATGGTGCTCATGTGAAGCTCATCATCACACCTTTCTAAAGAAAGTCACTGTGATAAATTCTCATATTAGAAGTTTAATCACAGTTTTTCACCACATCAATCAACTACTAAGCATGTTCAGAAAATGACAAATACTTATATACTTAGACCACGTTTACACACACAAAGATATTTGACACTCATTACAAATACAAGTGCATTGTGGGAGATTGCAGTGCCCCCAAATCACTGTGGAAAACGGCCGACATCATAATGGTGCCCTAATACACAAACAGGGATCCAGTTTGGTCACAGGCCTGGTGCTGCAACACTACTCAATTTAAAAAAAAAATAAATAAATAAAAAAATAAAAAAAAAAACAAACACATGAAATACACATACCATCAACACTAGGTCTAATCATGTGCAAACTTAAACTTGAGATACATACTGAGAGATGCATGAAGATGAATATGGAACATTCTTGAAGATTTTGGATGTAGAACTTGCTGCTGAGTCACACTGTTGTCCCCAACTGCCCAAAATAGTAATTTCCATTTCTATACACTCATACACTATACACTCATGTTAAAAATCATAGGAAAACATGCAGTTCTTAGGTCGTAAAGTCCTAGGGAACACAGTGTAAAATATTAAGATTATTATAATATTAATGTTTGTATGATATAATATTAATGTTTGTATGATAGGAACACTGAATGTTAAATTAAACATCCAGCAAAGATTAAGTTTAAAAAAAAAAACTAAGAAAGAAATATAACAGCTTAAAAAAACGCTTATCAGACCTACATAAGAACTGGTCGTAAATGTTCTGATGAGCATGCACGATGCCCTTAGTCCCATACTCCCAGCTGGCCATACCACTGAAGCAGAACTAAACACAAAAGTGTGAGTGGGATAAATTGAGTGCAGCAGGCTGTACATATCCATGTTGTGTTGTTGATCACCAAACATTCCTCAGTTTTTATATTGTAATGTCATAAATAAGATAAGGTTCTTTTTATTATTTTTTGTTACTGTTGGATGTGCATCCAAGGAACACTGGCATGGCTGGTTAAATGAATGAGCAGATGAACAGACGAACAGACAAACGACAACGGGGAGAACAGTTTTGTTAAAGCTGTGTAGATGACAACCCACATCAGCTTTGTGATGGGTGAGAATACAGTTTTTGTATTTATGACCCACCATTCGGACTGCCTAGTTTATCTCAAAAAGGGATATTTTTTGTCAAAATACATTGGCAAATTAATGGATGTTGGAAAGTTATTCACAGGACATACTTTGTACATGAAAATCACAAGAACAAGATTAACCTATGCAAAAAGAAAATACAGATTTAGGTTCCCCGGGGCTTTAAATGGAATGCATGGCTAGTGTGTAAAAAGGAACAAGAACTGATTCTTGGCATGACTGATGTAAATCATATAGCTGGAAAAGGCCCAAAATCTCCAAAACAACATGCATGTAAACGTGGTCAATGTCATATTCCATTTCCCATATGAATTCTTTAATTTATTATGAATATCACTACACACTACAGATTTGCACTCAGTCAACATTTCTCTTTACTGCTCCGGCGAAGAGGCACGTAGTGGCCATTGGCTGAGTGTCAGGCAGGCCAAGCCACCAGTGTAGCAGTGTAAAGCCACAGTGATTCTGGACAGGAAGTGGCTTGTGGAGGGGGAGAGGTCATGAGAAAAGGGAGAGGGCCAGAGGACCAGTGCATCCCCAGGCCTTTGGGGAGGGCTTGTGGAGGTTCTCATAAACTCAGCAGAAGGTCACCGAAGGGTTTTCCGCTCCCTAAAGGAATGTTAGACTCGCAGAGAAAGCTGATAAGGACTGCAGCCATGCTGTGAGAGCAGCAGGTCATGGTGTTTACTCTACCCAGTTTACGGTTCGGAGATAGTCAGCTCAGCCTGGCTCTAAGAACGTTAACATCTCCTAAATCCTAAACCACACAGAGAGTCGCTGGATAAGCACACCAAGCCGTAGTGTTTGTTTGCACACAAACAGTTAATAATCAGCATGAGGTGCTCATTCCATTCTGTGTGCTAGCATATTTTTGCAAGGCATTTTATTTATTAAATTAGTAAATAGAGTGCTGAAGGTCTGAGCAGTAGTGTAGAAAAATCCCTTTAAAATGAAGGGAAATTAGCAAAATTGTAAACTAATCTAGGATCTCCTCAACATTAGTTCTTTATCCTGGCCTCACAGATTCATATCTATCAGGGGGATGACATCTCAGAGAGTATTACGGGTTTAGGGGGGGAAAGTGAGAAGCAAAACAAAAAGCACAGTGAGCAGAGTCCTTCCATATTTTGCATGGGCATGGTCTATCACATGATCCCCATCAGCTGATATCCTACAAAACCAGCAGCTGTCAGCTGACTGCTCCAGCGTTTCTTTGGTGAAGGAAAGCAGTGCAGAGAAGCACAGAGAAACAGGAAACCTTACCTTTCACAGGTCCGATGTATATTATCTCAGATGCTAGAGGAGAAAGGGGAGGAAAAGCAGAGGAAAAGAAACAAAAAGAGAGGACAGATTAAAGAGATTAACAGGCAGGAGGAAAGGAAAAGGTTAAAGAATATGGAGAAAGAGAATTGGACATCCCATTGATGGAAACCAGTCTCAAATCTCAGAGCGTGACTCACTTTGCCCTTGCCCAGGCTGACAGACAGGAAGAAGATGGGGTATGAAGACATGTGGCTGGCACCAGGTTACCCTTTAGAGTCTATGACTCAGTCTGAGGAGTTCACTAACCACAATGGGGAGGAGATCAAGCCTCTGCACAGGCTTTGGTCAAGCCTAGTCATTTTTACCATCACACTCAGCAGCATGGCACTGCACCACACCACTGAGCTTGCCGGGTCCTCCTAGCAGCAGGCAGAAAGGAGACAACAGCTGCAGGATCAGGGGTGTTGCCCCAAAGCGTGAAAAAGGCCACCAGAGGTTCAGCTTCAGTTTAATCAAACAATTCACAAAGAAACCCCACAATTTACACTCTGACACCTCCAAGTTAGTGGTTCTCCATCCTGCTTCTGAGGGAACATGATGATAGAAGTGAGCATCTGTGACAACTTTGTAGTCCCAGGAATGAACAAGATTATAAAAATACTTCATTCATTTCTCACTTTGGAGTTGTATGTTTGTTGCAGTATAAAAAAAGCAAACTGAAAGCAATATTGATGCTTTTTGGCAGGACTTTCTCAGATCTATAGAACCTTAATCTTGGCCAAGTTTGCTCTAACTGAACATTATGTGGGTAACAGAGAGATACAGCAACCAGAGTAAGAGTCCTCCTCCTGACGGGTGGAGTAGAGGCTGTGCTCCAGATCGTTTGCATCGGGGCGATTCTTATCGGCCGGCCCAACCCCTTCCCAGTGGGGAGTAAACAGTAGTCCTTGAACTCGTTTCCTGTTGAGCGGGAAAGGCCCACAGTGGCTTGTGCATGGAAAAGCTCCAATTACGTATGCTCGCTCTTCAGAAAAAGAGCCTTTGTAGAGTTAAACATGGAAATCTCTTATAGCCTCTATACACCATGCAAGCCCCCTGCTCTATTCTAATAAGGGTCAGCCTCGGGTTAAATGCTAATAACGAAAGAACAAGAGCAGGATTGACAGTGGCAGCCCGAGCCCAGAAAAAGTCACCCTGCACACTGGCTCTTGCAACCCCTCAGCTTCAGGCCCTGGGCCCGTGAGCTATGTCTGCGTGTGGGATGTCTGTTCTGGGGCCCTGGGGTGGGGCATGGGTGGGACAATAAGCTCCATTCATGGAGCCTTGGCAGCAACTCTGGCTCAGATAGTGGCTCATCTTGCTAAAGTGGGTTTACTTCATCACTATGGGGCGTAGCACGATGGCTGCCTGGTCTGTTTCAAAATGGCAGCGTGACCAAATATGTGTGGAATCTAAACCATTCGGTCCCCACAGCCAGAGACCACGCAGTACGAGTGCAAATCATATGCTTGTTCCAAGCCCACACATTCGTATTTCGGCACTCTCTCAAAATAACAAAATCGCTTTTGTTTCCCCCTGCAGTGCAACCACATGCACACCAATATGGAGCCACGTTCCCAAAGACAGAAGAATGCTTCTCAAATACTGCAATACGGAAGTCAAATGCAAAAACATAAATGACTTATCTTGCTGAACTCCGAACAATACATAAAACATTGATCTGATATGCGTACAGGACAAAAACGGAGGCTTCCGATCTGTGGTGAACGCTGGGTGTACAGTTCTCGGTGGAGCCTAGGTAAATGCAATAGGGAGGAGATCACAGGAGGGCTACAGATGTACCTGATCCAGGAGTAAGCAGAGGGCCTTCCAACTCCAGAGCCTCCTCCTCAGACTCCTCCAGCTTTTTCTTCTTCTTCTTGGGGTCACGGGGCTTGCGCAGCAGAGACAGCTCCTCAGGGTGGCGGATATCTGCAAGACAAAAGGAGTTATTATGGTCCAAGTCTCACTGGCCAACCCACAGAGCACATCCAAGCAGCTGCACATAACCTAGCCTTGTTTTTGTGTCAGATTCTTGTGCAAAGATAATATTTAACCCTTCTCTAAATGTAGGCTCAGAATAAACCTCAGTACGGTGGGGAAAGAAACGAGCAGAAAAAAAAAAAATCTTCGTAAGGACACAGAGGTGCAAACGGTGATTTTGATATGAAAACAGTGAATCTTTCAGTTCTAGCGGACATTCACCTTCCACGGCATATCACTGACCCCTATTCCTGTTACACAGACCACACTCTACTGCCACAGAAACTAGCAATGGCATACCACCACTTTTTCTTTTTCAGTACCAGTACAGATTTTACTAGTTCAGTCCATGCCTTGGTTGCAAAATGACAGGAGACTGCAGGAGTGGTTAGAACTCTGAGAACCTCTGGGCTGGAGATCTGAGCAGCTTTTGCTTTAAGCTAGAAGGCCAGACGCCCTCCTCCTCCCTAATGTCAGTTATTTCTAATTATACAGATCTGATATTTTTTCTTTAAAATCTATATAGAAAAATATCTATTCTACAACATTATTGTACACAGATAAACTCAAATGGTTAGGACAGGTCATACATCATGTCAAAAAATAAGCTTTACAGAAAAAAAAAACACAAACATTGGGAGATATTCAGGTGTAGATTTCAATAGAGAGAGAGAAAAAAATGGCAACAGATATATAGAGGGCATGGCTTGTATGGCACACAAACTACTATGTCACACATGGTTGCACTTTGCAAATACAATAACTAAAAACAAAGTCAAAATCTGCAAACAGATTGTGGTACTGTATACACCTTCAGCTAAACACCACAGTTATGACAACACAAACACAAGGAAAACAAAGTGCCCTGAATAGCCCATAAAACTCAGCTGCCTTCATTCTTTGGCCTATGTTTTAAATTTGCTTGTTGATTTGCACTCTGCAAGAAGGCAAACAACCAAAGACCACCTGAAAATTATGAAGTACCTCCCTAATGTGATTTTGAAAAAGTACTCAAAGGCAAAATGTAATTTACAGAAAACACACAGGCACTGCTTATACCACCAAATATCTGTTCTGAAAACAAAAGCTTTCCAGCCTCACAGCCTACTCAAGACGGCATGACCCTTTAGAGGTCCTCTCCATGTTCAAAGGGCATCTGAACGTAATAAATACAAGCAGAGTGCAGAGAAGCAGAGCAGAAAAAGTGAATTGTTCAGGACATGATGGCTAAAGCAGACCCACTCCTCTTCCACTTTCCTTTTGGCTGAGCTGAGAGGAGACACATCAATCAATATTAATAATGAATTTTCTGACATTTAAGAATGCTTTTCAAGCAGTGGAAGGTGCTGCCAGCAGGTATCTAAAAGGATAAATATCCAGCGTCTGCAGTTCCAGCTGAGACATCGTCTGGATCTTTTTGTCCACACAAAAGCATCTGAAAGAATCTGGCCACTTCTGGCGTAGGAGTTTTATTGATTGGCATTCTCTGTTCTGTTCTAAGAATTTTGGCTCTTCATTACTTTGCATTAAAAGCACTACTGCAGGACAGCCTGCACTCCCTCACTCTTCCACAGCCAGAGAAGAGAATGAGTGTGTGTGTCAGGGAAGGGAGGGGGGACTTCTTGGCTTGGCGAGAATTGCTTGTTTAGTTTGTGTTACTAAAGCAAAAGCATTCCAGAGGTTTTAAGAACTACCAGATGGTGGTGTGTGTTCTCTCTCTCTGTCTCTCTCTCTCTCTCTCTCTCTGTCTCTCTCTCTCTCTCTCTCTCTCTCTCTCTCTCTCTCTCTCTCTCTCTCTCTCTCTCTCTCTCTCTCTCTCTCTCTCTCTCTCTCTCTCTCTCTCTCTCTCTCTCTCTCTCTCTCTCTCTCTCGTCTGGCCTTATACAGCCATATGCGAGCAAGCAAGGAGCAGAAGGGTGCTGCGACAAGCTGGACAGAGAAGACAGTGAAAAGGCTAGGATGAGAAAAGGATTTAGGAAAAGGTTGTAATGAGAAGCGAGCATCAACTCTCGCTAGTTTTCTGTCTCAAACCTCACTTGAGCTGATTGATCGTGGTATCAGGAATCGCTGATTCACGGCCATCAAGCTAGATGTCAGATAACATACTGTCCGCGCCTTTAAGATGCACAAAATCATATCTGCTTTAAAAGTCTTTTGTCGAACAGGGTAACAAAATGTCACATATTAAGCAACAGATAGCACATCTTAGTAAATGTTGAGCTGTTGACCACCATGCACAGAACGTCTCTGCCCATGGTCCATGAATGAGGGCTTAAATTAGGCCTGTGCTGAGTGGTGGTTAACAGAGTTACCAGGGTAATGACCCCCAGAGATCGTAAAAACTCGTTTACCACCAGTTTAAATACCTGTTGTTCAATTGTTGATTTATTTCTGTTTATTTCATGTAAACCAGAAGAAGACAGTAGTACATCCACACATGAATATAACTGAACTGCACCACGACTGTAGCCTTTTGCTGTCATTCCACTACAATATAGTTTGTCTTGAGGAAAAGTTTAGCTTTCCACTTACTGCTGTTCACTGGTTTCTCTACGTTTTAGAAAAACAGTGGCCTATAAGCTAATCTAGCACTGTAAGCTTTAGCCTATACGAACATTTTAACAAAATTCCCCTGCCCAATTCTCAGAGCCCCCAGGACAGTCTACATTTTTCCTTTATCCCTATGTGTTGTATGTTAGGTTAGAGCAACAATGTGGACTGTCTAGGGAGCCATGAGGACCAGGTTGGAAACACTGACACAGAGGATTGACAGGACAATGGTTTATTTCACACAATATAACAACCTAACTAAATCCTAAAGCAGTGGTGTTGCTGGCAGGGCAAAGGTAATCAACCAGGTACACTGCACTAAACTGCACAGATAGTGAGGAGCTCTTTTGGGCACTTGAAAGCCGAGGCACCTGTTTGAGCAGCAGCCAGTTTGATGAGAGTAGTGTTCTCTCCACCCTTCTGGCATCAGAGAAGGGCTAAATAATACACGGACAGAGATATTCTTTTCATCCGTCACATGAAAGCAAGAAAAGAAAGCAAAAGTAATGACAAGAATGCAGGCCATAACACGGTTTGCCAAGACAACATAGCCTGGAACACCTGTTAACCGAGTGAGGATACGCTCCAAAGCCAGGCACACTGCTGGATTAGAAAGTATACAAAACAAACATCCTTTTCCATCTCAAAACCTCAAACACACTATTATGATCTGGTGACTTTTCACAATCGGGATTTGCCTGCCAACAAGCCATCTAAGGCTCAAATAAGTATTTTAAAAGGATTTGTCCTGAGACCCCCAATAAGACCATACATACTGGTCATGAGCACTGATCCAATTACGCCATTACTGCCCACTGAACTGTCAATTAGGAAGGCGGTCATGAAACACTAATGATTCCAGATCAATCGTTTAAATTTATTAATTTAACATGAAACATTAATAAACATTTTGGTTAAACAGTATTATTAATAAAAATGTACCAGATTTAGCTACAAACTAATTCCATCCTTACTGGAGCTTTAACAGCTTCCAAAACTGATTCAAGACTAATCTGTCTTACAAATATAAACTGAGATAGCTCACTGCTATGTGTCACTTCATCAGACATGGTTTTAGTAGAGAATTCACTTACAACAGTTCACTGGGTCGGACTGTTAAACTATTTCAGTAAAGAGATTGAACTCAATGAATCAGGTTCTAAGCCTGAAAATGTAATGTAATGGCACATGACTACGTGCAGAGTTATGAGTCTGTGAAATCAATACAACTTGTGACTTTATACTCCAAACAGTGTATAGGTCAGCCGGACCAAAACAGAAGCCTTTTCTCAATTACAGTATGATTCAAAAAGAGGTACACTAAAGGCATTAGTGTAGGGATAGCAAGACCTGCTGGAGCCGCTAAATGAAGCTGCATGACTAACATTAAGGCTCAATGCCCCACTAGCTAAATTACCTTTCAGCAGGCCAACAAGAGCAGCCTCTTTGTAGCATCTGAGGCTCCCAGCTCTACCAAGTCATGCGCAAGTCATTGGCGGTGCCCTCCATCTGCAGTCTCCTCACACAGAGACGAGACAGCGCAGCCAGCAGCAAAGCCGTTCATTTGGGTTATAATCCTAAAAGAAGTGACACTGTTCTTTAGAATCCATCAGCAACCACGGGCTCTGACAGCCATGCTTCCACAGCTATTGACATCCCCAGCGACAATGTCATTAGCACCAAACCAAACTGAAGCACACTGCCAGCTACACTTCCCTTTTGCTTCCTCTTTTCTACTCAGAGCAAAAAGATTTCCCACAGAACTGTTTATTCCTAAAATCATTTGAAATCAACCCTGATTATGTTTGGAACTGTTGGTTGGTTGTTCGTGATAGTATTTAAATCACATTTGAAAACCGCACAATACATACAGGTGTGGGGCACATAAATAACCTCACTTTGATTAAGATACTTATTGCTAGCTGTATTACACCACTGTAAAGTGCCTTTTTAATTTTTTTGTTATGTGTGTGTGGGCTCCAGAGCAGGAGAACTAAGGCTAAGCTTCTAAACTCTTGTCACTTCAGTGATATTTCTGTGACATTTCACACAAGAGGCCATTTGTTGAGTGAGGGGAAGAAGAGAAGGAGCAGGAAGTCAAACAGATTGCCCTTTTGCACTGCATTCGCAGGAATTCGGCAAGAGCGAAACTGCTAGTGATTACAAGAACCTTGGAGAAAGCACTTGGATCCAAAGTTCATCATTACCTAATGCATTATGACTGACATCTCAGTTCTGCAGATGTGCTTCTTTGAGCCAAACTGAAGGAGGACCCTTGATAACTGTAATTGCAGGGTGTTTCAGTCCTAAGTAATTCTGGTCATTTGTTTGTAAAGGAGGCATTTTACAGCTGTATTGTTACGTTCCTCAGGTCATTGGTTTATTTTAATCAAACCAAATCTGCCAAGAGGGAACACCAGTAATGCACTGTAATGAAAATGGCTGAATCATCTGATCCAAAGTTTTTTGTTTTGTGTTTCTCAATTTGCCAGTTCATCCTTTTTAATAAATTAAACAAAAGTACAGGGTAACAAGGGTGCTTTCTGCTTCTGTTCTGTTGTATTCTGCATATCGAGTGGGACGTTGTGTGATATCAAACGTGATGGAGAAGTTCTGGAGTGCTGTCAACTCCCCCCCACCCCTCACTGTTCATCTGCTGCTGATCAAACTCTTCAGGTAAATAAAATGAAAAAAAAACAAAAAAACAATGTTTTTCATTATCATCCAAATAATTTGATTCTGATCAAGTGATTCTGATCTGACATTGCATTGTCCAATTGAATTAAATTTAATCTATTAGAAGTTTTTTCTACCAATTTTTTTCAGTCAAAAACCAAAAGTGACACTTTTAACCATTTTTGGCCAAAATGTCTGGGTGAACGAAATTTAAGCGTTCATTAGTGAAGACACTATTACTTACGCTCAGATTGTGAACTGATTTCAGGCGGCTCACACGCTTGCCCATCACAAACCGACTATTCAGTGATACAAACTGGTCTCTTTAGAGTTAGTGTAACTGAGACCTACATGGATTTTAAGGAGCAGCATTCCAGGACATGGTAGTTTTGCAGCATGTACAATCACAGGCCTTTCAAAAGTGCAAGTCACTCAGAAATGGTCCATTAGCCACTGCAGTGGTGGAGTGAAGTCCTGGGAATCTGCTACTGCATGACCAACTGATTAAAGGAACAGACAAAGAAACGCTCCATTTCTCAGCAAATTAAACTCAGAGTGTGAGGGACAAAGAGCCAGGCCAGCATATGTGAGCCGGTCATTGTTTCAGTCTCACGCACAGCTGCAAGAAGAATCCAGCACTGTGTCTGTCTGGAGCTGCGGCCAGTTGGACTGCTGTAAACTTCCTGGAACCATCTCCGTTCTAAAGCTGTGCAGCACAGCTAGCAAAAGGTGCAAGCAAAGGAAACTGTCAGTGATATTTCTGTCACACAGCTCATGGAAAAAATCAGAGGGAAAAATAGAGCACGGTTTGTGATGCACTTCTGTGGATATCCAACAGAAGCCACTGATGCTGTGAAGTGAAATTAAATGCGAGGTTACCAGCTCCTTCAAAGTGTACAGCCTAGATGTACAAAATGAGCGTCTCCATCCACTGTAAGTTACCGTACGTCACTCAGGCATGCGTAAAGTCAGCCAAGAGCAATTTGTCCTGAATCGCTCTGAAGCTAAAATAGATTTATTATGGCAGAGGTACAGGCATGCCAAACATAGAGAAGTACATAGATATTTTCTTCTGGACCATATTAGTGTAGCAACAAACAGAACAAGCTTACATATTTTATCAGTTGTTTACCACCAAACATTGTTACTGGCTCTATCATGGAAAATCTGCATAGATATTAAAAAATAAAACATATCAAAAAACAATAATGATAATTCAGTTTTCTCTGACAACCAAAACACCTGGAGGGTGTAGCTGCAAATCTAACAATTTATACACTGCAAAAGTAGTTAAGCAAGAAACATTACAAAAATTAATTAAATGTTGAATAAGAATTCATGGCATCTGTTGCATCAACAAGAGAACACACCCATCTCAGATGTGCCTAGTATCTGAAAGAGCGAGGCAGCTGGAAGTTACCAATCAAAAGGCTCCAGTGTGTGACCTTTCACCCTAAGTTCAGCAGGTCCAGAGCACTGACAATGCAAGATATTGATAGAGAGCGAATTCAACCTTTAACTGCTAGTCAGGGTCACATGGGTTAAACATGCACACAAAGATACCAAGTAAGCACTGTATACAAAACAGGATTTGGAACAGTTTTAAGCAGTAGTCCAAGGGCATGTCGACTGTTTAAGACTCAAAATTTCAACACAATACACAGAGCAGCATGACTCATGACAGTCTATTACATGACTCAATTATATGAAACCAATAAATTAAAAAAGGAGGGGCAAAAAACACAACACTGAGGTTACAACACTGCCTAAAATGATTTTAATATAAATTTTTTTTGTCGAGCTGCATATTAAAGAATAAGCAGTTTTTAGGTTAATAGAAACACAGTCAATATCGCAAGTAAATATTTGTGGCAGTATTTGCGACAGAGGAAATAATGCCAAAGCCCGCTTGGGTGCATAACTGGATCCAAGATCAGAAAGATGATTTTTATTCCAAACAAGCAACCAGCAACTTTATTGTTTTTATTTTAGCTAGCCTGTATGGTAATTTATAAATTATAAATAATATGAGCAGGTATGTACACTTACACTGTATTAGAAAGCTACACAAAAGGTCACAGCAATTATTCATGACTCACTGTGCTAAACACCTCATGGCTCACTATGCTAAATACCTTACTGTTGATGTAAGATTTTATTTGATTTCATGTTAGTCAAATAGGCAATGCTATTTATGCCTCCACCACTGACAGGCCAATTTGGACGTAAGGACAGGCCAATCTGGCTGTTAGGAAATTTAAACTGGAGTATTCATTTCAGTCACATTTCCACACAGACACATGTTCGACATGGAACAAATAATTTTGGTACGGTTTCCACAACAGCGTTGGTGGGATGACTGAATGACCTGGAAGTTCGCTGATTGCTTCTACGTTTACGTTGGTATTATGCCACCTCATCCGGAATTACCACATACCACAGAACAGATCTGATTGCTGGGTAACACACGCCATGCTGATACAAGTTTAGATGACAATGGCTCAAATCTGAGGAAGTGAATTCAAATGACTGTTGCTGGAGTGACAGAAAGCCATAATTAAACTTGTTCTGTGGTGTTTGGATAGCTAGCCTAACACTGGCCAGCACCTCTCTCTTACTTAGTAGCACTTCTATTTAGCTCAGTTAGTGGGCTACAGATCCAAACAGTGCCACACACCACAGTACAGGCTTGATTCCGTCAAACTTGCTGTTACAAGTGTACACAATAAAAGAGCGCGCACATGAGCGAACAGTGTTGAGAGTGACAGCAGGCTGAAATCAAACCCGTTCTGTGGTGTTTTAAGCTGTAACCTGCTTTGCTAAACTAATGATAGCTTAGTTAGCAGGCCACAAGTGCCACTCACCACAGTGCAGCCAAGTGATGCCCATATAAGACATGTTTGGAGGATAAAAGAGTCACATGCAAGAGTTCAAAGTTAAGTGAGCGATGCTGGAGCTGGAAACAAATATGTTCTGTGGTGTGTGTAGCTGTTAACCACTGTTGTGTATAGTTTTTCTTTGGTATATCCTGGTCCTGATTAAGCACCACATTAGATGGAACAAGAAACTGTAACCAACCAAAACTGTCTCTCACCGGCACGGAACAGCACATTACGGCTGTGGGAACCTTTCGGCTCTACAGTGGAGAAAAGGACAAACTTTTCAAGTATTTAAACCACTTTTTCTCAATATGTGCTTTTAGCAATTGTTCCAATCAAATGTGACACTTTGAGGAACATGAAGCAGAACAGTCAACTAACTTGGCAGTTATTTTTCTTACTCAACTGCAAATTAACAGTGAAAACATCAACGTTTTAGAAGAAGGTAAAATGTATCCAAACCATTGACACAGACATGTATATGTAGGACAGCCCTCCATAAAACAATCTCTTTTTCTACATATATAAAAAAGAAAAACAGCAAAAGCTGCACTTACTGAAAGTTTTGCAGATGTCAGACACAGCCTTGAAGACGCGGTCAGAGAAGTTCACCTTGACCTTCATGTGTTTCATATTGGGCAGCTGCAGGCGCAGTACCTTGTGCTGAGGTGTGAAGAGCAGCCTGGCGTCAGCCTGAATCCCATATTTATCCAGTGTCCAATGGGTCTTCAACAGCCATGTTTTCTTCTTTTCCCACCACAACGCATGGTCTGACCAATCCTTCTTCACATCTAGACAACCAGAAACAAGATAAAAACAAATGAATTAGAGGAAAGACAGAAAAAAGGAGGAAGACAAATGCTAATGCTAATACTCTAAGTGGGACAGAGGTCGGTCAGATGTAAACACTGACAGTGTGAGTGAGTGACAGTGATTTATTACTGAATTAATAGGCCATTAGTATAGCACAGAGATCTATAGCTTTAATGACAGGAGTGTGATGCTGAATTTAGGGGGGTTTACTTCGTCTGTGCCTCTAGAGACCTCACATCAAACATGGCATGACATCACCAGATGTGCCTAAGCATGGGGGATGCATTTATGGGATAGGGCTGAGCACAGAAGAAGGGGGCTGGGCTGGGGGAATGTTTGAGTGTAAGAAGTGTCGCTCGCGTGACACTGTGTGCAGATCAGGTTCAGGCTTCCCCCTTTGTTCCAGAGGCTGTGTGTAATGTCAGAAAGCAGAGACGTGGCACCTAAAACCCGTTTCTCTCCCCACAGCTGCGGGTTAACAATAGAGGAGCAGAGCTCTGTGTGTGTGGAGCACAGCAGTGTCCCTTTGAACACCCTCGGAGAGAAGATGAAATCCACCAAGATTAGGGGAGCCCAGAAGCAGCTGGTTTACTGAGTACCTGCTCACTCTTACCTCAGTTTGGAGGCCAAGGCTGAGGGTTCTGCAGGTCTACTGTACTGAGGTCCACAGGGCAAGGAACCAGCTGTAACTAAATAAATTAACTTAATCCCTTAAACTAGGGCATGGTAATATGACAATGCTATTGTCATTGTGATAAATTACATCACAGTATGCTTTTATGAGCATATTGTGGATATCATTAGTACTTTAAGACACCTCCTAACTGCATGTTTGCCTACATAGTGAGCATGATTCGCTTAATTATGTTTTATTAGACTGAATGCAGCACGGTATACGAAATGCTGAATATAAATCATTTGTAGTTTATGCATTTTTAAATGTGGCACTACTTTGTATTTTCCAATTTATCAGATGTCACAAAAACATCAAGATGTGTATCATGAAAATTTCCTGAAGCATTGTGATTACATGTTGGCCATATCACCAACCTTTACCTTGAACCCAAGACTTACTACTATTTTTTATTTTAAAATGAAAATAAAGATGAAATATGAATTTAAAAATATTGTTTTAGTAAATTCTATCAGATCATTCAATAACATTCAATAACACAAGTTATGAAAGTTAGAAACTGAAGCATGTGTCCATATATGGACCCTTTTAGTCTTAATGGGTTAATTAATATACAGTATGATGCAAACCACCCTTCATTTATGTAATTTCCAGTCAAAATGGGCATTAAGTATAATTTATTCATTTTTCAGAAAATATTTTTAAGGAGATAATATACTTGCATAAGGAATGGAATGGGAAAGTCAAAAGAAAATAAATAAGTTTTAAAAAAGTATTAAAAGATATAGAGAAAATGGGACTCCTAACAGACCTAGCAGACCACCAAAACCGTCACCATCCGATAAACGATATATAAATCTTTGAGATACAGGAGCCCAATGGCAGTTTAGACAGGGAATTCTGACTTTTTCACAGTACAACAATGTACCTATGAAATATTATTAATTTCACTGACTATTATGTTATGTCCTTTTGTGGTTCCTGTAGTTTTGCAACCACCATTAAAGTTCTCTTATTTCAAAGCACAACAAGACAACAGGAGCAACATGGCCACCAACACTTTCTGTAGCGCATCATATTCTGCCTGAAAGTGAGCCATATGATGATAAAGCAGTACAGGGTGCTTTTTTAGTAAACCAACGAAGTAAAAATGTTCACTGTCAGAAATGCAACAGTTCCTCTGGCATCAACATAAAAAATAGATACTCCACAGATCCCCCTTAAAAAATCAAATCTGGAGACAGCAGACATCTGGATAAGAACAGGCATATATGGAATTGTAATCAGATAAATGAATTACTGTTCTAAATGAGCTAACAAAACTGTCTGGTGGTGCAATAAACCTGATATGGGTCTACAATAACTGAATGGAGGGGGAAGCAGCGGATGTTCCTGCTCCAGCAGTGATGTCAGTACTCAGGCATGCTTCCAGGACAGCACAGGGACTAGTACTTCCCTCAACAGTGTCCAGTTTCCACCCCCCTCTCCTCTCTCACTCCCATGCTCTCCACTTCTCTCCACGCTACCAGCTCCTGACTCAAACACACTGACTCAGAGTTTCTCCTCCATGCTGCTGGCATTCCAACCTTTCTACTTAAGGCTCACTAAACCGCAGTGTTTCCATTTAAACTTCAGCCTCTTATTCTCTAGGCAGTCTGTGGTGGCAGAAACTGCTTGCGTCTCATACAACGCTGGCAATTACCACATATAGCTGAGCCTGTAGGAAAAATCAATTAAAGGTTAATTGGACATCTCCTCCAGAACATGGAATTATCTATAGGCCGATTCATAGCTGGCAACCCTGCAGAGAGTGAAACACAGTACATAATATTACAGTGTGGTTTGGATATGATCTTTGCAATCTTTATGTTCTGCAACCACCAGCTCGTACATGCTGTGAGTACATGTTTCCATGAGTGAATTCAGATGAGTGGGGCAACACAAATATACATTCTGGCTATAGAAGCTCTCTCCACATTACCCATCATCTCAGCTTACTGGAAATACCCACTATAGTGCCATTTAGCCTTGTCAATCAAGCAAGAGGCGCCATCCAATAGTGCTGCCAGAAAACCTCCTGCAAAACAGAATCTTCTCAGAAGAGAACTTTTCCACTGACTTAGCCCAACAAACGTGAATCTTCGAGGCTTATCTTTCAGCTCTGAGGACAAGAGGAATGTCAGTATTCACTTTATGTAATATAACACTATAATGTCAACAAATGGATGTTCTGTAGTTCTGTAGAGGTGGGCAATATTCAATATTTTATCATTATTAATTTGATACATTTTGTTATAGTGATAAATAATAGTCTTTTCTGGGCATATCGTGGATATCATCCATACACTGACCAACTGCATGTTTCTTTACAAAGATAGTATAATTATACAAATTATATGTCAGAAAAGTCAAATAAAAATCACTGTTTTTGATGGCAGACTCTGTAACAAAATATTGTGATACATACTGTGAACCGTGAAAAAAAGTATTGTGATAAAATATTTTTGGCCTACTGCCCACCCCCATCTGTAGCAAAGTAAATGTGGTAAGTAAGCAGTGCATGTGATTTCTCCATGCTGTGTGAACACCTGCAGTAGTGGTACACGCCTCTGGTCCCAGCAGGAGCCTAAAGGATGCTTACTTACTAGGGCGGTGTTCAAATTATTGATGCAGGCGTCATATTGTATATAAGCTTGTGGTAATACATGCATCCGTAGAGAGATGGCCATATCTATATTCATACATTTACTCTTACATCATGTGTTTATGCATGAGTAAAACTAATACTGCACTCAAGAGAGTGCTATGTTTATAATATCCAACACAGCAAACATGTGCTCTACTTAGGGGTTTGTTCATTATTTATTATTATTCACATAAAAGGCTGTGTTGGAGAATAAAGCATTGCACTGCGGTCCATTCTGCATGTTGCATGTACAGGAGAAACTGAGCAGAGAGTGAAGTTCATTCATTAGATTCTGTCTGCTGTTGTGTGGATGAATAAAGTGAGCATCCTTTACAAACCGTTGTTAAGGCCTGTATGACGCTTGTTAACTGTGTACTCAAGTTAGCTTCACTTTCACAGAGCTTAACTCACAGTTGTAGTGAGCTATTAGGTTGTATCCTGCAGTGATTAGCACTTAGCTGTTAGCATTTTGGTCACGTGTCTGAAGAGCTGCTTCATGTTGTGGTGCTGTTAAAGGCTTCATAGATGATGTTACTGTGCTGCACGTAGGGCTGAACAATTCACCGTTTTCATACTGAAATCACAATGTTAAACTGATGCGAACGTGAAAGCTAGTGAACTGGCACCCTTCAAGTCCAAAAAACATGGATGTGTTGATCTTGGTGAAAAAATAGGTCTTAATTAATTAATTAATATAAAATAATTACATTTAATAGCATTTAAATTGCAATCACAATATTAGTCAGAAAAAATGCAATTAGATATTTTCCACAGGTTGTTCAGCTCTGTATGTGATGTATATGGCATAAACATTTTGCTGTCCTCTAATATTTTTACAGCTATGAACTCTCTTACACTCGCATATGTGCTCGAATACTGCCGACTGCCTCCCAGGTTGCTGCCTCTGTGATTAAAAGGGCAGAGAGTTCACTCCTCTGCATCTCTGTGCATATATATATCACATAATTACTATCATTTTTAAAGCAAATTTTATAGCAAACATCGACTCCTTCACAGTAAACATTGACTTCTTTACTGATTACACATACACATACATAATTCAATGAGACATTTTTAAAAAGAATGGTTGAACAGAGTACTGGAAATATGGAAATATTTAGTATGACTGATCAAACATTTCATTTTAACATCTGCTATTAGTTGTTTAAACGACATGTATAAAATTCGGTTACTTGTTTAATGATTTAAAATCTCAAAAAAGATCTTTAATGACCAGAGTTCATTACTGGTTTAATGCTACATGTGGCTCTGTCCAAGAAGAACAAAGCCATGAAAATAAATGGGCTTTCTGCTTGTGTTCAACACTAGAGAAGCACATGGACATGTTCAGTATGCGTGGAGTTGCCTCATCTCTACACAGCATTGAAGTACATCATAAAACTGATCTACTACCACATGTCCGTATGTTACCTGGGCTGTCCTTTGGCTGAACTGGGCTAAAAATGGGGCTATTCTGTGGGAAAGAAACACTCCATCAGATGCTTTTATCAGGACCACTTAAATTCTAATGCTTTCGCTAGGGTAGAATCAGTCTTGACCAATGTGTTCAGCAGTAGAACACAAACACAGAAAGGACCAAATAAATACATTCATGATGGAGTCCCCACAGCCCCTGACATATTCTCTGATGGTCTCCA